ACTCCTTATGTTATTTCCATAACTTAAAACCTACCAAGTAACAGTTAGTTGGAAGGCTGTTGGAGTGCGCATCCAATATGTGCTAGAGCGCTGTTAGCCAGTTAGTTGTAGAACGTAGTGGCGAGTACCGTCGGTCAGTGTCGTGCAATGTTATCGCATGAGCTGATTGTTTAGTAACTGATCGTGTAGGTGGACAGTATAGCGTAACTTGTAGTGCCTTGGTCTTTCTCTTTTGTATAAATTAAACCTTGGCTTTCCATCTGAATCCATTCCTGCACACCTGATGAGCCATCTTTATCTATCCGGCGAAATGATCGTCGTGTGAACCTGCTGCTTGTTACCGCTGCTTATTGTCCATCTAAATTTTCATAGTCGAAGTACAGTGCTGTTTGACCGAGGCGGTTGGTTTTTCATGATTCTCGTTTGCATAGCTTCCCCTTTTATTGATCTTTGCATCTTTTGAGCTACACAAGTTCTGTGGAATGTTGCTTTGCGTTCTTGAATCGTGGTTTGACCGTATTGTCCAATGATCTTGCCAGTATCGTCATCGACATGCATATACATCCGCCAACGTCGTTCACAGCTGAGACTTTCAGCTCGTGCTTATCTTGGTTGCGCTCAACTTCTCCTCCTTTTGTTATTTCTATAACTTAGAACCTTCCACGTTGGAAGGCTGTAGGAGTGCGCATCCAAGATGTGCAAGAGCGCTGTTAGCGAGTTAGTTGTAGAACGTCAGTACCGTCGGTCAGTGTCGTGCAATGTTAGCGCATGAGCTAATTGTTTAGTAACTGGTCGTGTACGTGGACAGTATAGCGTAACTTGTAGCTCCTTGTAGTTCCTTGGTCTTTCTCTTTTGTATAAAATAATACTAATAATAGCACATTTCGCCTAAGCAATCATGGAGGGAACTCTCAGCCTGAGCTGGTTTTGTTCGCGGCTGCAACGCACGGGGTAGTGAACCCAGGACAGAAGCGGACCAGGCATCATGCCTTTGCACATCTATCGTTATGCTGCTTCATTACGCGACCTGTTTTATAACTGTTATTCTTATTTCGCGTAGTAGAGCACTAAATTAAGAAATCCAGTGTTTTTCCGCCTCGGTGTTGTGAGCATCATCAGCAAGGTGTAGTAGCTGCTGATACTGATTTCTACTCGGGTGTCGAGCTGCACAGTTTCTTCCAGTCTGTCTTGTCCGCTGCTTGTTGTCAGCACCTGGGCACGTCTTCCATGGTCTTCATTGGCACATCCATCGTATTCAGCTGCGCGTAATGATAAGATGCACAGAAATGAAAGTCGGGAGGGCAGGGACACTGTTGAGATTCATAACTGACTGAAGATGTCAAGAAAACAAACGACCATATAGAACACACCAGATGCCATATTTGCAGCCGACAATGAATCATTAAGAATTACGAGCCTCTTTGGCTTCTTATCTGGCCTCTGATTACCACGTTGATCAGGGTGAGTGGACTGTCTGGCTTAGCTAGGCTACACACTTAGGCACCACGGTCACCTTACCTGACAAGAGTTTTGGCTCACCTCGTTGCAAGGTATGGTTCTTGGCGTGTACGTTCTTCAGAAGACCGACTGGTGCACTCTGAAACCCTGCAAAGCAAAGAGATTTAATCAATAGGACTTCTTTCTCGTCTGGGAGGCAGGTGAACCACTGGCTTGAAACGACTCTCTCTGCAACGCGCTTCTATGGTTCACCTTGTCTAGCTTACTACGGTATAATGATGAACAGTTCTCATCTCTACCTACTACAATCACTGGTTCAGGCTTGGGAGATATAAAAGTTTCAGGCTTGGTAGCCATCTCAACTTCGGATTTGACTGAGGTCATTGCTATAGGCCCTACATATTCCAAGGGATCCCTGGTCAATCCTCCATACACACTGTTTTTCTCCCAGTTGATGCTCCATTATTACCAACAACAGCCTTACTGGACAGCTGAACTCGGGCCCTTCCGCGTCCTTTTGGCGGAAGATGACGACGAGCGTTCCCCACAGACTGGATTTGTCTCGAGGAGGTATTACATGTTACACTGTACAGGATTTATGTCGACGACGTTTCACTGGGTGGCTGCGACATACACCCGGCGTTCACGTCCACACTGGCAATAGCTTGTACAGATGAGTGTGTGTCACGCTGGCTCTGCGCATACACAGCGATTTCGGAAAACTTGGGTCTGGAGCCTGGGGTGCTACCTGTGGATGATCTGAATGAGGCATCCAGGGCAGCAGCTTCTTCACGATCACGCTCTCTTTTATAAATGCTCCCTTCTTCCTATCTTTCTGTACGGGGCCACTGCTTTGCATTTCTTGCTTAGTAAATCTCCTGTACATGCACTAGAAATACATCATGAACGTGTGTTGAAAATTATTTTTTGTAAACCCTCTCTTTTCCCCTCTACTGATCTATAGCTTGGCATCCACCAGCCCCATCCCTATCCTGTCGCCAAAACAGTCATGCGTTCTGGTCCATCGTATTTTACGGGGGCAGCCTACCCATAAATTTCATATGGCATTCAATTGACCGTAACTTTGGTGTTTCTCAATGGATTTGAGTGAAATTTTGACCACACACTCCTGCCACGATGCTGGCCCTCAGTACATGATTTACAAGTTCTTGCGCCTCACTGACAGGCTTTCCAGGCCGGAAAAACTCAAATTTCCTGCATAGTGCCACGGTGTGCGAGCCACCCAGGAGCCAAACAAATGCATTTATAATTTTTTCACATTTTCGTGCTCGTTCTGTTCGTGCGCGAGACTCAAACCTAGAACAAGTCCAGAAGCAGCCATGGGTGATGGGGTAGGGCCCCTGAACGAGGCCCTGGAATCTGTCACAACGGAACGAGTGGGCGTTCTCTCACACACTCCCACAGACCCAAGTCAATTTTTGAATTTTTTTAGGTTTAGCACGTGCTACGAGATCGTACCTTTGATACAACATCCAGTGCTGGGACCTCCACAGCAAGCTATTTCCACAGCGCTGCACACCAAATCCAGGATACCCTCAGAAGCCGGCAAAGACTACCACTCACGTTTCACTACTGCCTAGTATTGAATCCTACCTGACTTCTTGACGCGACTCAAACTTGCCAAAGTCACTAAATCAACGTCAACTACAATAATCAAGCCACATATCTGCAACGTCACAAGGGTGCTGGCAAAAGTTCTGCTGCACAGCGGCGGGCTTCGCCCGCCGCCGTGCAGCCCAATACGTGGCTCAAATACCTGATTTTTTGGACTTGGAGCAAAATTCTGCACACTTTCATGTGTTTCCATGATACGACAAGTTGCGCAAGGTCTGCTCACATTCAAATACAGTTCTGCCAACAAATGACAGCGTGCAACAAAAAAATCTTTCCTTGCCAGGGGCCATAACTCTTGAACGGCCGGTCAGATCGGGACACAATTTTCAGAGAATTTGCAGCTATTCATGCTCTTTCAACTGACCTAGCACTCAATATTAATTTACAAATTCGATTTTTCAGCGAATTTTTGGGTAGTCTGCCACCTTAACTGAACAGTGTCCCTGAACATCTCAGCAAGTCATTGGTTTACTTTCGCACGGGACACTCGCAATGGCATAGTACTTCCCAGAGCTTTGTCAACTATGCTTACCAAATCTCCTATTTTCTCTGCATACTCGTATTGGCCCCAGCTGCCCATGAAAATGAAAGCAATATCCAATATTAGACAGTTCATAGACCATGTTAAATGTCATGCCACCTTGTAGGCAGGCTCGCCTCTTTTGCTAGCTTATCTCGCCGTTCCCAACCACGGTCAACACAGTGATAAAATTTCACCCCGCTGATGCATTCTTTTCTTTCGTCCTTTTTCATTCGCTGGTAGCAGAGCGCAAACCCAGAAACAGCTTGGTAATCAACACATAGCTAGGAATAGACATGCATCAATAGTCACAGGTGACAGTAAACAGACCTGGACAAATAGTCTGGAATTTGATTCCATTTGCACATTAGTGGTAACCAATTATGCCGTTCAGACAAATCTGGAAACTGGCATGCCCCTGATGGCGTGGTCTGCTGGCTAGAGTACAGCAGTATGGTTGCTTGTCTAAATAGATGACATTGCTGGAGGCGTGGAAGACACTTCCTATATGCAGTCTGCTTGGTCCTTAGTACCTTCAGTGGCAGTTTTTCTAGTTTTCATCTCTTCTCGCTCCACATACACCGACATAGCGACATGGACCCAGACAACAGCGATAGGAGCACACAGAGTGATGGTAGTAGGCCGCAGCCAGACGTGAACTGTGATGCAGAAGAAAACTAGGAGCAGCAACAGGGGGACAGACCCCAGGAGGAAAGAATGAGTACATTCAGCTTACATAAAAGAGCCAGGACAAGCACCACTTGGGACCGTCAGATTAATTTCTCTGGACCGAGCCAGCCGGGAAAAAAACCTCGCGCCGACAGACGCACGAATGAGGGAAAAAACCGGGTGTATAACCCCAAGTGGCAACATGGCAGCGTGAAAACAGGCACAACATATCTACAGCCAATAAAGAAATGGAAGAAGATGGGCAGACATGAAGGGTGGGAGGGTGTAGACACTGGTGAGGCACAAAACATTGACTGAAGGAGTCAGGCAAAAAGAACAGCAACAAAAAGAGAACACATTAGATTCCACATTCACATGGTGCGCGAGAAATCATTTCACCGCCTCACTCGCTCCGCTCGGCCGGCGAGAGATTATAACATCACTGCTTTGCGTATTATACTGATTCAGGCTGGTCGGACACATCTGTACTTCAGCTTTGGTTGTGCCCGGGTTGTTCGGTGGGAGTCCTGTTCGGCTTACTCATCACTTGCACATGTCCAGAAAACAGTGCGGACTGGCCCTTTTTCAGGGTTTCGTTCTTCGCGTGTACCTCATTGACAATGCCGAGTAACGCACCTTGAAGCCCTGCAAAGCGATTGGATTCAGGCTTCTTTCTGGCCTGAAGGGACGGCGACTCACTCGATGGGAACAACGCAGTCTGCAACGAGTCACTATCACTATCCCTCATCTTCTGCTTAGATCCAGGTTGGTCGGTGGGAGTCAACGTCATTCGTACATATGCGGTAGTAGGCGGCCCTGTTGATGCTCCACCATTTCCAGCACCAGCCATGTTTGGAGGCTGTGCTCGGCCTCTTCCGCGTCCTTTTGGCGGGAGACGACAACGAGCATTCCCCGCAGACTGGAGTTGCCTCTCTTTCAAGGTTTCGTTCTTGGCGTGTATTTCAGTTACAAGGCCGAGTAGCGCACTCCGAAGCCCTGCAAACCGATTGGATTCAGGCTTCTTTCTGGCCTGAAGGGACGGCGACTCACTCGATGGAAATGAGGCACTCTGCAACGAATCACTATCACTATCCCTCATCTTCTGCTTAGATCCAGGTTGGTCGGTGGGAGTCAACGTCATTCGTCCATATGCGGTAGTAGGCGGCCCTGTTGATGCTCCACCATTCCCAGCACCAGCCATGTTTGGAGGCTGTGCTCGGCATCTTCCGGGTCCTTTTGGCGGGAGACGACAACGAGCATTCCCCGCAGACTGGAGTTGTCTCGAGGATATGGTAGAAGTTAGACTTGATGGCTGTGACCCAGTTGATGCTCCAACATCACCATCTGACGCTTGTTTCTACGACATTCAAGAGAAAACAAAGGGGCAAAGACAGGCAATTCAGTGACCCAGTCGAAATTCAGTGCATCACTTTACCACATTGGTTGCGATGACGTCATATTGACAGTGATTCTCTTACCCTCATGATATCAGTCAAAACTGTGCAGAACTATGCAGAAGTACTCATAGATTATAATTTATACAGTCATGTACATATCCTGCATTTGCATATAACGCCTTTTTGCATGTGTATTGTTGCGAAAGTACACTGAACAAGACTTTAGTGTACTTTGTATTGTTGAGGCAGCGAAATGGAATAATAAAAACCAAAGCAAACAGGAGTGTGTGTTTGTGTGTGTTTGTGGGTTTGAGTGTGTATGCGCGTGCGTGTATGTGTGTGAGTGTGTGTGTGTGCGTGTGAGTGTATGGTTGTGTGTGTGTGTGTGTGTGTGTGTGTGACTGTGTGTGTATGTGTGAGTGTGTCAGTGTGTGTATCTGTTTTGTGTTTTTGTGTGTGGATGTGTGTTACTCTGTGTGTGTGTGTGTATGTGTGTGTGTATTGTGTGTGTGTGTCTTTGGTCTGCTATACATACTACTACTGCATACGCATATTGTAGACAGGGCATCATTGGTCACATAACCAAACCAAATTTCGGCGTAGAGAGTGGAATACGTGCTGGCATCTACGCTATAGTCATTTCTAGACTTGGACCTGCACTTATAATGATTTTTACTAGTGGGTGTAGGGTGTGGCACATCAGTGTTGAAATCTCCAAGCACAATAAGTCTACAGTCGCTGCTTGTTACGACCTCAAGATGCTGGCTGTACAGGTCCGAAAAATGAACAGCAGTACTGGGTGAACGGTACACACTGCACACAACAAATTCCGTGGCCTTTGGCGCTAATACGTACACGGACAAACAAGCACTCCACTCCTGAGTCAGCAACTGGTACTGACACTGAGTGAATGTCAGAATGGACGTAAAGGTAAACTCCACCAACCTGTTAATCTAGGTCTCTGCGGTACAGATTATAGCCTGGAATATGCACGCTGGAGTTATGTATACTGCTATCAATATGAGTTTCGTTTCAAATAGATAAGATGTGAATTTTATGAGCATACAAGAGGCGATGGATGTGGTGTATTTTATGGCTAAGACTACATGGGTTGATATGATCAATGGTGTGGTAGCTTACCGTAGGTAGGTCCGGTGCTCTCAGTACGCGAGGAACAAATGGCGCTGCATTTGGATTCAGCGGTACGTGTGACTGGGCTAACGCGTTCTTCGACAATAAATTTCTTAGACCTTGAACGCCACGCTCCTATGATTGAACCATGAAAAACAAACAAACGCAAGGAGATCATCAGAATCAACTACATCCGCTTGTGTTTACTCACCCTCAGTGCAGTTATACCAGTTGCTAGCGTCGGAGATACGGATCTACAGTTGCAAGTCGCCTGTGTCGCTGTTCAGTCATCCTGCCAGTTTGTTCTCCAACAGTACACTGATAGTTCATTTGCACTGTAAAATTTGCAGGCCTACTTCCAGTGTAAATGTGAAAATGGGGCATCGTGAACGTTGCCGTTATACGACTCGCTCTTACAAGTCAGTCTTTATACAATGTCTGGCCTTTGAAAATTTATGATTTCATTGCTATCACGTTCGGTCTCATTATCTCTGTGCTGCGCTGATGAGCCCACAAATTACGCAACAGTTCTGTTCGCAGATTCAGTACAATGTACATGTCATGTACATGGAGATGAGCACATTGACCATCTAACTCTAAAACTAGCAAAGGAGTAATACTGCACCAAACTACGTATGGTGCACATTCCCTTTCAAGTGTAAGCACAAGATGGTCATTATCTACATAGTGTCAGTAACCAAGATTATTCATTTATTCAAAAGCATTCGATCTCGAGGGCACCAGATAACTGACACGCAACTGCTAAATATCTTATTGGTGACAACATCTTCCCACGAGCCATTTTGGAACATAAAATACACGGCAGCAGAGTGCAAGATATGAAGAAGAAAAAAAGCAAAGCCTCAAACTCATGAGAGTCAGATGACGTTTGAATACTCAATAAAAGCAGTCGCTGAGAACCTTGTTTGAAGGAATGAAAATGTACTCACCTGAAGGCGGGGAGGGTCACTGTCACTATTCCGCGGTGTTCTCTTGGATACGTCCATTTCACAATACCTGGTGCTGACAGAGGGTCTGCTAAACAAATTTCTCAAATAGCAAAGTGCACGTAGATCAGCTCTATACACGCTGTAGATCTACAACAAAACTAGTCTCATGAAACTACAGGTCAGAACTGTAAACAGCTGGTATTGAATCAACACCAAACGGAACCGATTTCTTCTTCACTTCTGACTTGTGTAACGTAACTGCGAGAATGCTAGTTCCTGCGCTCACCTTTATACCAGGTTTTAGGCGTGGGTAAAGCACGCCCGCACGACCCGCGACGACTAGAATCTGAACGTACATGTACGTGCAAGCCATAGAAAGGAGCAAGATCAAAGTATCCCACTGGGCCTCGCCATTATTGTTTGTCCATTGTGCTCTACGTTGCCAAGGGCCCATTGACGTCACACCATTAAAATAGTTAACAGCTTGATGAGTCACGTACATCTATTGAGTATTGTAGATCTAGGTGAGCTTGAGTGCTTTATCATAGTTATGCAGTCTATGTCAGCTCGCGCTGCACTTCACCCTCTCAGAAAACAGATCCATCATGACTGCATCCTGCATGTAATGCGAAGTGTGTGTGGTGATGGGGATCCTAGGGCGACCTGCCGATGTGGTGATCTTGACTTTTGCCTTTAATCGCTTCAAAGTCCGTGAAGATTCTAAGCATTGCCGAATCGTGCTTGGATTGCACGAATTCAGGGTCCAGAAGTCAAACGTGTCAGAAAAAGTCGAGATTGGAAACTAGGCTTCTGCCGTTCGGCAGATCATTTTCACAAACGTAGCAGTCAAGAAGAAGACAGTCTTGTTTCGTGTAGAGTTATTGCAGTATTACTTCTGTACTATCCGTGTATGTACTCGTGTACGAGACTAGTTTCCTTTACATCTACAGCGTGTGTAGAGTAGATCTATGGCCCCTGCATACAGTGACAGTACAGACACTCTTCACCAGCCACGCTACGAATGCCAACCATTTAGCTTTCGAAGTGTCCGTAGTTCCGCTGTTTCATCTCCCAGTGATCATAGTGTAGTTTATGCTACAACTAACTCAGTCTTAGTGATACCTTGCAACAAGAGACCTTCCGCAGTCGATTTGTCATCAACACGTATTTCGAAATGAAAGTATTGGAGAGACCAACGCGCAGAAGCGACAATGACCAACCTGGGCATCAGGTAAGGAAAGTTCTTTTCATTAGAGAGGTTGTTCACAACTAAGATTCGTAAGATTTCAATCGTCCCGGTTCGATTAACGAAAGTTGCTTCAAAGATCTGTCCAAATGCGACCGAAACAGACCAGATTTATGAAAATGTTTTTCGTCCCCAAGAGTATTGAAATTCTAATATTTTTCAACTCCTTTTCTTGGCTCCACAGCGTCAAACCACTACGAAAAGTAACAGTTCATGAGCTGTGCGTGACATCTAATCTTGGATGCCCACTCCAACACTCCTTATGTTGTTTCCATAACTTAGAATCTTGCAAGTAACAGTTAGTTGGAAGGCTGTTGGAGTGCGCAACCAAGATATGCTAGCGCTGTTAGCCAGTTAGTTGTAGAACAACGTGGTAATCAGAGGCCAGATAAGAAGCCAAAGAGACTCGTTATTCTCGATTATTCATTATCGGCTGCAAATATGGCATGTGGTGTGTTCTTTATCGTTGCTTCTTTTCCTGACTTCTTCAGTCAGTTATGAATCTCAACAGTGTCCCTGGCTTCTTATCTGGCCTCTGATTACCACGTTGATCACGGTGAGTGGACTGTCTGGCTCAGCTAGGCTACACTATTAGGCACCATGGTTGCCTTACCTGACAAGAGTTTTGACTCATCTCGATGCAAAGTCTTGTTCTTAACGTGAACTTCCTTCAGAAGACCGACTAGTGCACTCTGAAAGCCTGCAAAGCAAATGGATTAGGACCTCTTTCTCGTTTGGGAGGCAGGTGGCCCACTGGCTGGAAACGACGCTCTATGCAACGCGCTTCTATGGTTCGCTTTGTCTAGCCTACTAGGCAAAAATGATGGTGAACAGTTCACATCTCTCCCTGCTACAATCACTGGTTCAGGCTTAGGGGTTATAAAAGTTTCAGGTTTGGCAGCCATCTCAACTTCAGATTCGACGGAGGTCATTGTTATAGACCCTCTTTGTTCCGGGCTATCCCTGGCCAGTCCTCCACACACACTGCATTTCTTCCCAGTTGATGCTCCAACATTACCAACAACAGCCTTGCTGGACGACTGTACTGGGACCCTTCCGCGTCCTTTTGACGGAAGATGACAACGAGCGTTCCCCTCAGACTGGATTTGTCTCGAGGACGTAATAGATGCTTCACTGGACTGGATTTGTGTCGAGGATGTTTCACTAGATGGCTGCGACATTAACCATCTCGCTGCTGTCGGGAACGTTGGGTCTGGAGACTGGCGTGCTACCTGAGCATGACGTGAATGAGGCATCTAGGGCAGCAGCGTTTTTACGATCACGCCGAGCAATCTTGTACTCCCGCCAAACATCTTGCCTTTTTTCCATTTTCTTGAGGAGATCTTCATTATCTACCCGTTGCGTGATAATAAATGCTCCACTAGTAACAACAGCCTTTCAGGAAGACAGTACTCGGACCCTTCCACGTCCTTTTCACGGAAGATGACGACGAGCGTTCCCCTCAGACTGGATTTGGCTGGAGGAGGTAATAGATGTTTCAATGGATGTTTGCGACATTATCCTGGCCTGCTGCTTCACACTGGGATTACATTGTTTAGATGAGTGTGTTTTAGGCTTGCTCTGACAAGGTGCACACACAGCACTGTCGGAAACGTTGGGTTTGGAGACTGGCGTGTTACCTGCGAATGAACTGAATGAGGCACCCATCACAGAAACGTCCTCACGCTCACGTTGAGCCATCTCATATTTTCGCCGCATCTCTTCTTATATCTTCTGTTGATTTTATAAGATTACTAGCAGCACCCGGCCAGCGTTGCCTGGCCGAACGTGGCATGCGCGGGTGAAGCAAGTACATGAACAGCACACGTGCTCAGCACGTGGTGGTGGCTACACGATTCGCACGCTTCGCGTGCTCAGTCCTTCGCGGCTGCTTCCGCTAGCTACATGATTCGCACCCTTCGCGTGCTCAGTGCTTCTGCGGCCGCCAGCTACACTGTTCGCACGCTTCGCGTGCTAGGGCAGCGCTGCTCCGCAGCATGGCCTGAGCGTGACACACAGACAAACACACGTCACAGGTGCCTCTTCTTTATAAGTAAAGATATAGCAGCACCCGGCCAACGTTGCCTGGCCGAACGTGGCATGCGGGTGAAGCAAGTACATGAACAGCACACGTGCTGTGTAACACCGCATGACCGGGTAGTTGTTTATCAGCAGTTATAGAACTTAGATTTACAATAGTGAAGGCTCATCCAATTTAAACAGTCGACGAGGAGACAATAGTCGTAAAATGGCAATAAATAAGATAAATTGTGCACTCATAACAACAGCAAAAATGAAGAAAGTCAAGTTCCATAACGTTTTCTTGTGACTGTCATCAGTGGAACGCCGTCACATAAAAATGTAATAACTAAAACACACACTTATATACATGTAGCTAATATGGTTTCAGGTAGAAATACAGCAGCTAACAAGTACAAAAAGCGAAGTTTGCACCTTTGCAATGTGTGAATATAGTCATTCACACAGTATCACATTCATCTGCCACTACCTTTCTCACATACACTATATTCACACATTGCAAAGGTGCAAACTTCGCTTTTTGTACTTGTTAGCTGCTGTATTTCTACCTGAAACCATATTAGCTACATGTATATAAGTGTGTGTTTTAGTTATTACATTTTTATGTGACGGCGTTCCACTGATGACAGTCACAAGAAAACGTTATGGAACTTGACTTTCTTCATTTTTGCTGTTGTTATGAGTGCACAATTTATCTTATTTATTGCTCATCCAATTATTGGGAAATTATGCCTTAGGTATTTTGAGACATGTACATACATGTACATGTGGCAGCTTGGACATAGAGAGTGTACTTGTGTTCAGCATATGGGATGATGGGATGCTTCATCCTCGAACAATAATGCGAACAGTAATGCGCAGCATGGTGAGTGAATGGAATCACGTATAGAGTTCTCAGTTATTAGAGAGTGTCTCATGCGAACGTGCCTCAGCAGTTCGGCGGCAGTTACGGTCTCTACGTTCTTGAGTTCGTTCATGCGTCTCCTGAGAGCGTGTCGCAGCAGTTTGTCGACGATTTAGAAGTCTGCGGCGATCAGCCTGTTCTTCAGTTTCCTGTGACCTTGCCCTCTGCTTTCGAACCCTGGCTTGTTCGCGTCTGCGGGCAATGGCCTCTTCATCGTCGGACGACGTTATTGATGAGGACCGGCGGCGTCTTTTCCCAGACCGCTGAGGTCCTGGTGAGGGAGGTTCTTCATCGTTGGAAGGAGAAGGAGGGACGTCTGTTACGCCTTCGGGAGGCTGGTCAGGGTTGTCCATCACCTGGTGGCGGATGAAGCGGCTCAAAACGTTCATAAACTTACGAACAAAAGTGAAAGTGCAAAGCGTCGCCTTGGTCAAGTCTTCAAGTTTTTTGTATTTGTAGAGAACGGTTCACGTGGAAAAGGAAGCTGTAGATCTTTTGTAACATTTTTTAGGCTAGGTGGCTACACGATTCGCACGCTTCGCGTGCTCGGTGCTTCTGCGCGCGGCTGCTACTGCTACTCGTACTGATATGATCGTGTCTGCTACCTACACTGTTCGCACGCTTCGCGTGCTCAGCACGTGGTGGTGCCTACACGATTCGCACGCTTCGCGTGCTCAGTGCTTCTGTGGCTGCTTCCGCTAGCTAAACGATTCGCACGCTTCGCGTGCTCAGGGCAGCGCTGCTCCGCAGCGCTTCTGCGTGACACACACACAAACACACGTCAGCGCTTCTGCGTGACTCACACACAAACACACGTCACAGGTGCCTCTTCTTTATAAGTAAAGATAGAGAAAGCAATGGAGAAGATAGGGAAAACATTGACCGAGGTAGAAGTATAATTTCATTACTTTACCACAGTGGGTGAGATGCCATCAAATTGAAAGTGATTCTGTCTCCTTCATTATGTGAACCCCAGCCGTGTAGAAATGGGTATAACTGATCACAGGGCATTGCATAAGTACACCCATCAATGCAGGTGTGTAGGTATATGGATGTGCATGCACATTGTACCATTTCGATTTCAAATTTGACAATGGAAAGGAGGATGCGTGTTGGATATTTGATCCACAATAATTATACAGTAAAACCTGGTTAAGCGACCACCCCAAGGTGCAAGCATAAGCAGTCGTTAAAGCCAGGTGGTCTTTAGAACCAGATCCCACAGTATCTGTGTAGAACTGTGGGTGCACGGAGAAACGGTCGTTAACAGCAGATGGTCGTTAAAACCAGAGGTCGCTTACACCAGGTTTTACTGCAGTTCGTTAACAAAAATATGACTTGCGCTTCGCCACTTTTTTGAACACTCACCAGTACTTCTTCGAAAACTAAAAAATATTAGTGAGGTTTTGCATTCCGAATTTCGGTACAGCGTTCTTCGGTCATTTGTCGAACATCAAAATGTCGAATTTTCGCACCAACGTTTGTTTTTTTTGGAAAATTAGAGGCCACATGCCACCTACTGCTCTTTTCTCTCCGAAACTCAACACTTGCAAGCCAGATATGAAAGAAAGAAAAAATCATCAGTCACACCACCGGGACTCGAACCAGGGACCTTGCTATTCGCGAGCAATGCTCTAACCAACTGAGCTACAGTATGACTCTTATCCACAGTGATGGTAAATCTATCCTTCTTCTTCAAGCCAGATATGAATTGATCGAAGAAGGATAGATTTACCATCACTGTGGAAAAGAGTCATACTGTGGCTCAGTTGGTTAGAGCATTGCTCGCGAATAGCAAGGTCCCTGGTTCGAGTCCCGGTGGTGTGACTGATGATTTTTTCTTTCTTTCATATCTGGCTTGCGAGTGTTGAGTTTCGGAGAGAAAAGAGCAGTAGGTGGCATGTGGCCTCTAATTTTCCTAAAAACTTTGAAATTCTCCGTGAAGTCCAAATTTGAAATAACGTTTGTTTTGCAAGTCGAAAATGATGTGTTTTCATTTCGTGAGCCCCAACATCAGCAACGTCCTGTCCCGTGCTCCCTTTCTTGCTGATTCCAACGAACTTTGATCGGCCAAAGAGTCGAGGGCCAAACCTGCCTCCTCAGTCGCCTCAGAAAAACCAACTCCATGGCCAAGTCAAATTTTATGCGTGTCGGCATAGTCTTTTCAGCCACACAGATGACGGTGAGGACACTCCAGGCGAAAGAGAGTAGACTGGCCGTGGAGAGGAGCAATCAGAGGTAGCTGACGATGCTATGTCGCCAAAGACGCCTGCCAAGCGGTGCCGACATAAGAAACCTCTTTGATTAAATCACGCTCTGGCGCTCTTCTACAAGAAAATGCATCCGAAAAATATTTTCGGCAAAGTGAGCTTTTTCCGAACAAACATGCCGAATCTTCGTGTGCATTTTCGACCTCGCTCCCGCGTGCCGAATCTTTTTGCCGAATTTCGGAATGCAAAACCTCGCTATTCAGGCAATTTCGGATAATGGTGCCAGCCTGGTCGTAAAATCCCTGAAACATCAAATTTGTAAATTCATATCGAGTGCTATATCAGTTGAAAGAGCATGAACAGCTGCAAAATCTCTGAAAATTTTGTCTCGATCTGACCAGCCGTTCAAGAGTTATGGCCGAAAATGTGCCCTTGCTCGCAAAGATTTTTTTGTTGCATGCTGTCCAAAAATCCAAATAATCACGTTTTTTAGCCACGTATTGGGCTGCACGGCCGGTGGCGGGCTTCGCCCGCCGCCTTGCAGCAGGACTTTTGCCAGCACCCTCGTGACGTTGCAGATATGTGGCTTGATTATTGTAATTGACGTTGATTTAGTGACTTTGGCAAATTTGAATCGTGTCAAGAAGTCAGGGATTCAGTACTAGGCAGTAGTGGAACGTGAGTGGTAGTTTTTGCCGATTGTTGAGGGTATCCTGGATTCGGCTTGCAGCGCTGTGGACCCCATGACGAGCGTGTGTAAAATGCAGTTTATGTGTCTATTTTGCCGCAATCTGGAATCGTCTGCGGCTCTTGCATTCATCTCGGAAGCTGTATTCGCTGGTATCCGAACGATGCATGTTTTTGAGCACCGGAGTGGTTCCAGAGGGATGTACACGTTCAGGAAAAATCGAGCTTGCAATTGGCAGCGATAAGGCATTCGACTCTTTTCGAAATTATGCCACTGTATTGTCGGGGGTGAAGAGAGAGTTTTTGGATTCGATCGAACCACACCTACTGAACTTCACCATGTCTCTATTCTTTACAACATAGTATTAGCCTCAAGCTCTATGTTTTTTTTCTGCGCAGCTTCTTGGCCAAACATCTTGCTAGTCCTCTTCTTAAGTCTCTGTACCAGCTCCGGGCGACTGCACCTGGTCACAAGACATGCACCCGGGGCAAGGCACAAAGAGCCTTAGATCACTCATTAGTTTCTATGCAGTCTGGCATGCGCTGTATTTCTTTTCTGGCGGCGAGCAATAGAAATTCTCCGAAGAACGGAGCACTGAAGAGCAAAACGGCTAGATTTTCACCAAGCATAGCGTGCCCATGTATACATTTTGATTCAACTGTCAATAGACTGTGGATAGCCGCACCTAAATGTACATCGTCAACAATTGCAGTTTGCTAGCTATCACCTATGCTCCCCCCCCCCCCTACACTGGGAGAGAGTTATGGTTGCTCATGACAATGCTCAGTTCAGATGTGGGCAGAGCTAGTACAGTGCCTAGTACTCCCCCAAAATATATACCATGCTATCTACTCCCGTTGAGTATCTATTCCTCGGCTCAAGAAGTAGTTACATAAGGTTGGGTCGAATTCCTGCAATGCACAAAATATATAATTTTGAAAATCTGATGATAAAATTGAAAAACAATGCACCGGCACCTTTGCTAGCGCTAAAGCGGTTAAGAAAATGGCAAATTGGCAATGCAGCGAATAGCAAAAACAGCAACTTGCCTCGTACTATGAAAGGCGCAGCAGATCTATACAAAGTACATCACAAAGAAAAGAGCAAAAGGAAGTACATGTACTTCTTGAGCTGCAAGGAAACCGAAACTAGGGACTGCTCAGAATCGGTCACAAAACATGGCATGGAAGCATACAATACGGTCATTTATTTTTTTAAAGAAAAAAATGCATACAGCCTGCTAAACTAGGTAACTTGTCCCCAAGAAACGAGCAATACCAACTCTACAGTTGTTTGCGCAAGATGAGGTAAGCGCATGTAAGAAGCAAGTTGAAAAGCTTAACGAAAAACCGAAAGAGCTAAAAACAAAAACAAGGACACGGGATCAATTGCGGAGGGAGAGAATACAACACTAATTTGTCCTATATTTTTCTTTTGCTGAGGAAGGGTGTTGGCTAGCAGTTGGTGACCAGGGATGCATGCAAGTGGACGGGTGATAACTAAGACTAATCATGATGAATTGTGTAATGCGGGCATGACCAATATTTAATACACGAGCAAAGGGCATTTTTTTAAGGATTTTGCATTTGATACCAAACAGTAGGAGAGCGGCATGCAGGTGTGTGTCGAACTACGTGCCGATTGAGCATCCCCTGCCGAAGAATTTGCACAGGTACTTCGGAAGCTGCGACGCTCAATTATGCACAGCAACATTAACAGTGGGGAGAATAGCACGCAACACGCGCGTGGGTGGGTGTTTGTGGCCGCATGCGAGTGTATGCGCGTGCGCGCACATGTGTGTTCGTGCATGTTTATGTGTGCGCGTGCGTGTGTGTGTGTTCGAGGGCGTGTGGGTGGGTGCGGGCAGGCGCGTGTGTGTTCGTGTGTGTGTGTGTTTGTGTGCGCGTGCGTAAGCTGATAGTCATGATGCACAGACACAGGGCAGCATGGCGATACCAGTAAACCTTCCAGTTACGATGAAGAAGTCTTGTACAGGTGAGCACGTCAGCGAGAAGAACCGTGGCCTAGTTTATGACATGCTTGCCCCAGGCCCTGGAGTACGGGAAAATGGATAGGAAGAGAGAAAGAAACACGGAAAGACAGACAGAATGAGATAGTAGGAGTGGTGCAGACGGAGAACAAGGCCGAAGATGACAACATGCACTGAGCCTGTCACTTGACATCTTCTCACAACATTGCATTGTCTCTGTCAAACAAGCAAGTCAAATCCGTGTAAAGCTAGAGATGTGTACACAATTCACCTGATCGAACGCGCCACTTTCACAGAAACCGGGTGATTGCGCCCTACTACATGGGGATTTTTATGGAAAATGTCACTAAAAGAGGCATTTTCTTTTTCTTAATACATGGGTGAACGCGGTTTGCCCTTATGTTGTAGTCTCTTGGACGCTGAGTCAACTGGGTTTGGTCCGAGAAGGCTGGGATGCAGCGTTCGGCCAGTATTCTCAATCGAACACGGTTGAGTAAGCGGTCACGTGCTCATGTGTAGACCAGTCACTTGGTAACCATGCCTGCAGGCTACACGTTTCGCACTAAGGTTCAACTCGATTGACAGGAAAGCGCCCTAACAATCTTCACGTGTTAGCCTGCAGAGACGGTGACCAGGTGACTGGTGCATGCCTGATTACGTGATAACTTACTCATCCGTGTTCAATTGGGAATAATAGCTAAACGTTGCATTGCAGCCTTCTCGGACCAAAACCAGTCGAATCAGGGTCCAAACGACTACAACATAAGGGTCATTTGCGTTCATCCATGCATTTAGAAAAAAGAAATGCCGCAGTTGGTGGCATTTTGCTAACAAATCCCCATCTACTGTCGTGGACATGGAAATCTGGTGGCACGTCTAGCGGCCCCAGGGAGCTGGCCATGCAGCCCGCCGTGGATAGCGGAACATGCATTGTGCGCTGCAGCGTGCTGGCCGCATCGGATTAACATGACTCTGTGCACTGCACGCAGTGTGTGGAAATTTCTCCGAGCGGACACGACCGTCACACAAAAACCTGCTTCAAAAAGGGTGCCCTAACTTCACTAAGGTTCTCACACTTTGGACACTTAGTTGCACTCTGCCATACGATTATCATTTTCCCTGTCTGTGAAATCAAGGTGCGATGCTCTTGCGAGACGGAGCGCTCTAGCAGTACTTTACCGAACAGATCAAGGGAAAAGAGTACACATGCCACCCTGATATAAACTAGGAATCAATAAGAAGTTCCTACCTGCAATGCCTCCTCACTGCAAAGATGAAGACGATTGACAGGGCAAATACCACGACACCGAATACAATCCCAACGCCAATAACTGTTGCAGACTGCATGCCTTCCTCTGCAGAATCATCAGTAGTTGAAGAATACTTTGATGCAGGTGAGGCAGAGCGCACCGTCACGCTTGACATCGCTGTCAAGTCTGCAGACTGCATCGCTGATGTTGCTGATTGAGGCGTTGCTGTGACTGTTGATGTAGTTGTGTAGGAACCGCATGTTTTTAGGGCAACAAAATGGCAAACAAAAATGAGGAATTCAGTAGCAGCGGTCGAGCATCAAGTTACAGTCAACTTGGCTAATAACGACTGCGGATATAACGACAATTCGCGAACAACGACAGAATTTCCATGCCCAGAGCAAAGTTCATTCCACCTGTAGACATGTAATGAGACTTCGGGTATAACGACACTTCGCGAATAGGGACACTTTTCTGATGCCCGGCCGAGTGTGGTTATACGCAAAGTTGACTGTACTTCTGACATGCTGAGTGGTGTGGTACAGACATACTGGTCGTATATAGAGTATACACCGAGACTACCATGAAAGACACATCTTTGCACTGCTAGTCGTATATAGAGTACACACCGAGACTACCCTGAAAGACACATACATCTTTGCACTGCTATTCGTATACAGACTGCACATCCAGCCTACCATGAAAGACAACTGCATCTGTGCCCGACTAGAACAAATCCTGCCACAAGTCTTTCTAGTACATTCTGCAGAAAGGTGTTGTCACTGCTCTAATGGTCATTTCTGCACCGGTAGATGCAACACAGTGGTCATACAGTGTTTTCAAAACCCACTTCAGTGCTTGATGCACTCACTGAAAGTGCAAGGCAAAGAGAAACAGAAGTGGAACGTACCGTCAATATCAGGACTTGTAGAAGAGACTTCTAAATAGAACACAGCACATAACACGCACACAGATAGCAACAGACCAGCACATGTATTATAGACATCTGAAGTGCACATAGACAGTCCCATACATGAGTGTGCACTCAAACCACGCCAGTGGCATTAGTGTTCACCGCCTAGCTCACTCCTAGTTCACATTCGACTGGGCGAGACGGGACGCGACGCAATGATCGACGGGAAGCGACTGGACGGTCTGACGACATGCAACGTGAATACCCGGAACGGGAACACAACCGTACCATCGGGAAGCTATGTGAAAAGTTGAATCGATTCAACTTCCCATACAGTATACGGGAACGCAAGCATACAAAACGGCTGCAATTCGAGTGTGAACAGGAGACGTCGTCGTGCGCCGACAACTCCCGATTCGTACAAGAGGAGATTTTTAGCATTGTGAACATTACGCTTTCCACGATAACTCACAGAATGGCTAGCACGGCTTGAGTTGAAATTTTTCAAGATAAGATCTCAGGTTACTTCATTGGATTTAGAGACAGTTCAGGAGCGTGACAGAGGAACTGTTCTATCATTTCCTGGGGCTAATATTTGAATGCCACAACTTTCAGGGCACCTTTTTTTGGTTTTGATGAAAAACTGGTATTGTGAACTCGATTCCGCTTCATTCAAGGAGAAATAATCAATTTTAATAGAAGTCCCGAAAACAAGAAATTAGGTCCGAAAGTCACCCCGTCACGGACCATGCCTTATGACTCGCGCCGTTCGACGTTGAACATCGCAACGACTGCTGCACGTCGTGTCGTTCGAATCGTACAGGATTTTACAGCTCACCCCAGCCGTCCGAACAGGCGCTTACGTCCCGTACCGTCATCGTTGCGTCGAATGTGAATTAGGCTTAAGCACCAAAGCCGGAACATCCAACACCAGTCAACACTTTGAGACACCAACGACCTGTCCACAACTTCACGTCCATTTGAAACCGCTGTTCTTGTACGGCAACTCAGCACACCCAGATTAAAGTTCCAAAACAATTCAATTCTCGATACTCCTAAAGTCCTGAAAAAGCCCTCATATTGTACAAACTTACTTTCACATCTTGGTGGACTTGGGTGCGATACTCCGCCACTATGGAACGTAGAGATGGTGATAGCCAGACCGTTGCTCCATACGTATCCCGTTTGACATCTTATCGATACCTGCGCACCAATCGCCCTGTTGAAACCTGCTATGGGTTTGTAATTGAAGTGCGCTGATACTAGATCAGGGCACCGTTCTGGAGACAAAGGAAGCAAAAATTCAAGCCAGTTGCTCAAAGGAATCAAAAACTCAGCTCCAGAATTCATACCATAAGTCATAATATAAATGAAGACGGATTTTAGTCTCCCAAATGATCAGAGGATCAGCAATTAATCTGTGGCATGAATAAAACTTAATGACTGTACTTAGTGGAGTAGTAGAGTGTATTATTTGACTAGGGGAGTCCCAACATGCATGACCTTCTTCCAGGGAACCCTAGGGAAATAATTGTAGTGTATACTTCACGGTTAGAACACGATGCACACTGAGAAGTCCCCCAGTATTGGTACAAGGCATTTAAAAAATGTGCAATCAGCACATCAATGATGCAGCATGTACCAGTACAATACAGATACAGTGCTGGTAAATGAAATCCAGCCTTGTGGAAATACCAGTCCCGGACTGTACAATCCCTGCACTGTGAACAGTGGACTGTGCAGTGAACCGTGACTCTACTCTATTCATGGTTGTTGGATTTCAGTTCGCACCACCTTGTTGTAACACTGAGCAGCTACATTACACACAGAAGAATTCTTTAGGTCAGTACATTTAGGTTTTGATCATCAAGACCATCATTATATCCCTCCTTTTGTCTTAACCCTTTAAGAGCCACAGGAAATTTTCAAAAATCTGCATTTTTTCATGTTCCTCGGATCATAGCTTCAGTTCTACTCACTCAATCCTCACAATCTAGGGCTTCCTGGAACGGTCTCCGCGAGAGGAAGAGAATGAGGTCGATCATGATAGCCAGAACACCGTCTATCCAGCGCTAGATCGCAGCGACAGTACGAAAAATGCCCCAAATGCGTCCAATTGCGTCCCGCTCCAGATATTTCATTCTACTCGATCGTGGAGTTCGAATTTTTTTGCTGTGTACTCTTGACAATATCAACAGTGAAACCCGTGCAAATTCGAGTAAACCAGCGTGACGAAAAGTCTCAAAAATCTCAATACTAAAGTTGCACTGCGCGCTTTTGAAATTGCCGCGATCGCGGCTCAACTTACGAGTGATTTATCTCGGGAACCGTTGCTCGCAGCGCTTCGCGGATTGTTTCTCCCGACAGGTGAGAGTTTTCTCTTCGCCCTAGATATTTCGATCGATGGATTTGAGCGAGATTAGACTGAGTTACGATCTTTTGAAGTTTTGCATTTGAATGCGTCGTTTACGACGCATTCAAGTATGGGGCGGCTCTTAAAGGGTTAAATGCAGCAGTCGAGTCAGGGCCACTGTAGTTGGTAACCATCATATTTTTTACAATGAAGCTGCGTGGAGCGCCATTCAAGATTATTTTAGACATACGCAAAGTGACTCTAAATACATGTACAAACAAACCTTCTTCGACAGTGACCGAGACAGTTCTGGAGACTGGCCTAGAAGCATGACCACATCTTTTGGTCACACGCTGTGGACGCGGAGGGGTTCACCATGAACCCGTGCTTCACACACACACACACGGACATGCACACACACACACACACACGGACATGCACACACACACACACACGGACATGCACACACACACACACACACACACACACACGGACATGCGCACACACACACACGGACATGGACATGTGCAGACATGAGGACAAGCGCGCATGAATCAGCACACACGAAAGGATGTCAGGCTGCATTTAGCTGGGTACGTGGAGTGCTGGATTCCAACAATTGGTGCAACATGCAATGTCCTGTGACTCGGCCAATGCGTCGCAACGCGGAAAGACTCTGTGTGTGTATGTGTATGTGTGTGTGTGTGTGTGCACGTGTGTGTGTGCGAGTGCGTCCAGGGATACGTATGTCTGCATACGTGCGTGCATGTGTGTGTGTGTGTGTGATGTGTGTGATTGTATTTTCTGTATGTGTGCCGGCTTTGGTTCTACATGCAGGACTTTGCTTGGGTTAGTGCTGCATTGAAAGTAGAGGTGAAACTATTACAGATTTGTTCGGTTGGTTATCATACCCAAGAAGTTTATCATATCTCTATAATACGCACTGTTTATTTCTTTTGCTTGATTTGCATCAGGAGATCCCCTCGACAGGCCATCGCCTGTCGATTATTATTATAAACATTCGGTTATGAACGAGAGGGCTTGAAAGCGCAGGATTCATTGCAGGGCTGCCACACTTCGAGGGAGAAAAATGTGACGGGAGTCCTGGGTTGTCCGCCGTGGAATATTTTTTAAGGAAAATGGCTTGCTGTTGGGGCCCCAGAACACATTTTTAACTGTCCACACACATGCAAGCATGCGTGCATTTTAAACCTACAGGTACATGTACATGTACAATGACTGGCCAAACGTGACCTGGAAGTGCAGAATGGCCAACTGGACTAAAAAGCGCTCAAAATATAATAGTCGGTTGTCCCTCTTTGGGAACAAAATCGGTCGGTTTGTCCGACAGGCGATCAAAATCGGACGATTTCCGAAAAATCGGAGCAAGTGGCAACCCTGCCTTGCCATGCATTGTTATGACAGTTTGCTGATCTCTCTCGCAGTCGTTCACGATGCGGCGGCCGACGAATCAAGATCACAGAAGAGATCGCAGAGAAGTTGATCGAAATAAATGCCGCATCCCTACGACGTTCTTCTGTACGCCTGGCAGTGCACCTGGTATGCTTCCCGTACACCTTCCATTCATGGACTTGTGTCCGGATGCTCTGATGTAGGACGCTTGTTTTCGCAGTTCTCGCTTTCACGCACTGCAGCCCATTTGGGACTATGAACTCGAACCAGGCACCTTGCTCGTGAGGATCCCTGGTTCGAGTCCTGGTGGCGTGACTGATGAGTTTTTTCTTTCTTTCGTGTCTGATTTGCAAGTGTTGGCGTTCGGAGAGAAGAAGAGCAGTACAAGGCACGTGGCCTAATTTCCTAATACTTTGAAACTCTCCGTGAAGTCCAAAATTTTGAAATTGCAGCTCAATCTGATCAGTTTTTTTTTTTATTCTTCACTCTTTCCATTATTGTGTCCTTTTTCCTGCACAGCTCAACAAGTCCGGTCAGCGTTCCCCACATCCCAGCGACTAATTTCGCGTGATGCCAGTAGTACGATACCGCGCATGTCGAGTGGTAGTTCAAATCTGAACGCTTCCTGGACATCAACACCAGCACTTGACATGAAGCAGGATCAACCCCTCCGCGTCCACAGCGTGTGGCCGAAAGATGTGGTCAGGCTTCTGGGCCACTATCCAGAACTGTCTTTTGTTCTGGGCATGGAAATTCTGTCGTTGTTCACGAAGTTAAATCCGCAGTCGTTATTAGCCAAGTTGACTGTAACTTGATGCTCGACCTCTGCTACTGAATTCCTCTTTATTGTTTGCCATTTTGTTGCTCTAAAAACATGCGGTTCCTACACAACTACATCAACAGTCACCACAACGCCTAAATCAGCAACATCAGCGATGCAGACTGCAGACTTGACAGCGATGTCAAGCGTGACGGTGAGCTCTGCCTCACCCGCATATTCTTCAACGACTGATAATTCTGCAGAGGAAGGCTTGCAGCTTGGAACAGCTATTGGAATTGGAAGTGTATGTAGTGTCGTCGTATTTGCCCTGTCAATCATCTTCATCATCAGACTGCAGACTTGACAGCGATGTCAAGGGTGACGGTGCGCTCTGTATTACCTGCATCAAAGTATTCTTCAACTAATAAAAAGGTTTGGACGACGAACGCTCCGAAGATAGTGCATTCCGCTTTCACCTTCCAGTTGAATGATCAAACGATTGTGAACGACCTAAGTGATCTTGATACATCACGTGTTAACTTCAATGTGACGTGTACAACGTGGTCCACGGAAGGCTTCGAATGCATTTCAACAGGATGTTACCCGCAGCACAGTCAGCTGGTCGCGAGTATCAAGCAGCACGAAGACCAGGATTGCGCTTTGCCTAGTGAGCACGACGTAGTACACGATTCTGTACTATCTCCTGTTTGCCAGGAACAAGGAGAACAGGCGGCGGCTTGGATTTACTTCGGAAGTACGACTCGTGCGCTGGCGGAGAACAGTGAGCTGCCGTCATTACCGATCGAACTGGTTGGTGTCGGAGATCTCTCATCATGATCAGCCTGATCCCAGCTCCCATCGACAGCGTCTTCTGGATTTGGTTCGCAACTTGCAAGCTCTCTGCAGAAGACGGCATCGGCAACATCAACATTGGCGTGTTTGTGACTTTCCCTCCTTGTCGGCAATGGCCAAAGCCGTGCTGGTGACTTGACGTCCTTGTCGGCCAAAGCCGTGCTGGTGACTTGACGTCCTTGTCGGCCAAAGCCGTGCTGGTGACTTGACGTCCTTGTCGGCCAAAGCCGTGTGAAGAAGAGGGGTAGGTTTGCCAAATCGAAGTGTGCATATGCCATCCGCTCAAGGCAAGGATAAGAGGCTGACTGTAAACCAAATTTCATCTAATTCGTGTGAAAATGTATGTTGCTACTGTCGCGGACATGGAAATCCAGTCGATTGACCCGGGCCGGCGCCCTCAGCGCGTACAGAACGTAGCATGCAGTGCACACGTTGATCCGATGCGACCAGCAGCATGCAGTGCATGATAAAACGTGCTACGGCTGCATGGCCAGCGCCCTGGGGCCGCTAGACGTGCGACCGGATTTCCATGTCCACGACAGTAGGTGGCGGGTATGCAGTAGTTTGACCATGTTTTGAGCCGATTTCACGTTTGATCGCCAGAGAAAAATGGCTATAACTTTCGAATGCCTGGACCGATTTTGATAAAAAAATTGGTACCATTGGATTTCTTATTACCTGGGTGACATTGTCCAAGAACAGGCTAGCTTGAATTATGAATTTGAATTATATCTTGGAATCCCTACTGGTGTTTAGAAGTTTTTTTCCGCGTCATTTTGGCGTTCAAATTTTCAGGATTCCACGTGTTCATTCTACACTCAATAACTAAATTACCTCGCGCAAACATGAACGACCGTACTCACGGGTAAACAAAACCAAAACAATCACTGATTCAGTCCAACATAGGTTCGTGCTAACGCCACGCTAACTGAAATCTCAACTGAACTAACCTATATCGCTCTCGCTTACCCTGACTCGAGGTGTGCTTCGCAAATCTGGGAAGATAGGAAATCTCTTTCACGTCGTCCTGAACTTGCTCAAGCTGAAGGGACAATGAGCGTACCCCAGGAAGAAGTACGGCCAGGAATTAACTGCAGGAGAACTATCTTCGAAAGCGAGACAAATGTCTTCTCGCCAGAATACACTGAGCCAACGCCGGCAACTGAGTTCATGAAGCAAAAAAATTAATAGTGTTCTGTCTTTCTTGAGACGCAAACAGCACACAAACGCTGCCTATGCCATGGCATACTTGCACTGAGTCTGTTTTCTTTTGTGGTCGCAGTCATGGAGCGGTCCGTCTAGGCGATGCATGCAGCAGCATGCAAGTGCAGGAAAGCATTCGCCCAAACAGTATTTTGGCAGTAACTCTCTGAGTATGACAGCCACAGAACTCGTCAGCATGAGACGCCCGGGGAGTCGTATAAAGTCGACTCCCTGGAGACTACTAACTACTGCAGTACTGTAGGCTCAGTGTAGCGGACATGGAAATCCAGTTGATTGACCCGGGCCGGCGCACTCAGCGCTTACGGAAAGCTGCGCGCAGTTCACAGGCGACTAAGAGTAGTCGAGTCATGTTGATCCGATGCGGCCAGCGCGCTTCAGCGCACAATGCATGTGTTTACCGCTTATCCGCGGCTGCATGGCCAGCGCCCTGGCCTGGGGCCGCTAGACGTGCGACCGGATTTCCATGTCCACGACAGTAGTACAACTACGCACGGAAACTAACTTCAGTGCTGGCAACTGAAATCCGATCCCCTTGGATTTCAGTTGCCAGCACTGTAGTTTTGAGTTATGTCGCACGCGACTAGCCTGTCAACATCTCGCGAGACTCCTCAATCCTCATGTCATGATCGTTCGAGCTGCAGCAAATACGAAGCACGACTGGACAAGCGCGAACTAAAAATTATTGTGTTTTCAATTACATGTATATAGGCTATTCAGACTACGGCCAAATGTGACCACGTTTCTACGATAGGGATTAGGGAGGGCCCCAATATGCTCCAAAATTTCGCATATTATGCTTTTCGCATATTGGCCATTTGCTTCAAAATATGCTTCGAAATCACACAAAAGTAGATTAATATTGCTCGAAAATTCTTCTCAATCTCTAAAAAGGAGTTTGGATGGTGGTGGTCTATATGGGGTTTGTATGAGGTTGATATGCCCAGTATAAACCGCCGGCATGATGGGCAAGTTGACTGGAAGTTTGTATGAAAGGTCAGCATAAGCTTGATTACCAGAACTGATATCAGTGATAATTATGCGAATTCTTTGCTCCTTGTAGCAAAATATGCTACATTTGGTACGATATGCTACATTTGCTACTTTATGCGACCTTGGGACTTGAGTCGCGGACACTCTCTTCCCGGGTAGGCTCCGGCGGATTATGCTCGCGAAATCATGGAATTATGCTTTCATGGATTCTCGGATTATACTCACAAAATCCTCATATTCTGCTTTGGCACGCGGGGATACATATTCACTTTGTTGTACTTATGGAGCCCCAAAGTTCGGAAAATTGTGACTTTTTCGTACTTGCAAGTGGCCATAAGTACAACAAAATGTTACACGAGTATCCCCATACCAAGGTGTCATGCATGCTACATGTAGAGATCAACATGGAAAAGGGAAAATATTACTTCTATAAATTCATTAGTTGACTTCTTTTGTACATCAGTAAAAAGAATTTTTCATTGCCGAATTAGTTTGATTTACCTTTGAATATTCAGTTATCATGTTCAACTGTCTTCATAATCGTCATACCCGTCCAACTGATGTCACCCTCACCCTGCGAATAAGCTCATCTGTCCCGTAGCTTCACCTCTCCTTCCATCATGACCGAACATCAACTATACCTCAATTTATTATTATTATTATTATTATTAGAGCAATATCCATAGCCTTCACAGCTGCTAAAATCCAGAGCCAGGTTAGGACTTCGTAACCTGCATTATTACATGTACGCGGACTACCCCTCACTATCTCGTCCGCCCCAGGATACCTGATAAAGGCGGATTCACTCAGCATCTTCTGCTACATGTACTGTATCAGTGTGAGAAAGAACAGTTTGAAGAAGGCGAGTTCGAGCACACAATAATTTATCAGTGCCATGATTAGAATACCATTCAGGGCATCGTTCTGATTTTGGGTGGCACCGCGGCAACAGCGCTCCGACAATTGTCGGTATGGAAACCAAAATTAATGATGGTGGACTGGGTGTATGGCTTGAAGCACAGCTAGTGGGATGGAGTCAAAATGTACATCATATTGTGGAGGTCTGTTCAGATCATAACGCAAGATGGTTCTTTCTTAGAATTCCAGATACCTTGTGGTCATATGCTGAACTCCATGCACAAAACAGGAACAAATCTACTCCGTTTCTTCTCCACAATTCTCAAATACAGCTCGTGGCTAGCACTACATAGAGTAGCCGACCGCAGTAGAGTATTCAAAGCAGACAAATCGACAATACGCCTATCACTAGTCCATTCCGGTTCCTGATCGGTGTCTGACTCGCCATCTGAAGCGCTGCCATTTTCTTCAGCAAATGGCAGTTCATTCCATTTCTTCAGCGATTGATCAATTTTTGCTAATTCACACAATTCCTCTACTGGCTCGTCTAGCCATGAAGCTATCAGCGACTTTAGAGGGGTCTTTTGACCACTGCGACTGGTTGCGACGAAACGATCGTCTTTTCTTCCATCCTCTGACGGTACTTGTACGTCAGCGAAATCGAAACATGTGTCCAGAAAGAAAGAAAAATTCAAATTGATTTTCACAACGAAGCGAGGAGCTAGTGCCTGGGCCTCGACGAACAGCGGAGGTGTTCGGAGGCTGTGTTTGTCCCTCACACGGCGATTCAGAAACCACACCTACCAGTGAAACAACACACGCAAATGCAAAACAACACGACACAATTCACTTCCCTCCCTTTACTTCCACATACCCGTCGCTGAAGCGATAATAGCGAACAAACTTGTGCTGGTAAATACACCATTCAACAGCTTTCAAGGCTGAGGAATTGACCACCACTAAGTATTAAAAAAACGCAAGTCATGTGTTGAAAAACGGGCGATATTGTTGTGGATCAAATAGCCAGCACGCAACCCCTTTCCACTGTGAAATTTGAACTGGACATGGTACAGTATGCATGCACATCCATTATACATACACACCTGCATTGATGCGTGTACTTATGCAGTGCCCAGTGATCAGTTCTACGCAGTTCTACACAGCTGACATTCACATAATGAAGGAGACAGAATCACTGTCAATTTAACGTCATCCCACCCACTGTAGTAAAGTAATGAAATTATACTTCTACCTCGGTCAATGTTTTCCCTATCTTTTCCATTGTTTTCTCTATAATTTTATAGAATGAACAGAAGATATACGAAGAGATGCGGCGAAAATAAGAGATGGCTCAACGGTTACGTGAGCGTGACGACGTTCCTGTGATGGGTGCCTCATTCAGTTCATCCGCAGGTAACACGCCAGTCTCCAAACCCAACGTTTCCGACAGTGCTGTGTGTGCAACTCGCCAGAGCAAGCCAGAAACACACTCATCTAAACAATGTAATCCCGGTGTGAAGAAGCATCCCAGGATAATGTCGCAACCATCCAGTGAAACATCTATTAACTCCACAAGACACATCCAGTCCGAGGGGAATGCTCGTTGTCATCTTCCGTCAAAAGGACGCGGGAGGGTCCAAGTACAGTCGTCCAGCAAGGCTGTTGTTGCTAGTGTTGGAGCATCTATAATCACGCAACGGGTAGATAATGAAGATCTCCTCAAGAAAATTGCCAAAAAAGGAAAGAGGTTTGGCGGGAATATACGATTGCTCAACGTGATCGTAAAGAAGCTGCTGCCGAGGATGCCTCGTTCAGATCATCCACAGGTAACACGCCAGTCTCCAGACCCAATAACGTTTCCGACAGCGCGGTGTGTGCGCAGAGCAAGCCTGACACACACTCACCTGTAGAAAGTATTGCCAGTGTGGAGCAGCACGCCAGGTTAATGTCGCAGCCATCTAGTGGAACATCCTCAACACAAATCCAATCCAGTGAAACATCTATTACGTCTTCCAGACAAATTCAGCCTGAGGGGAACGCTCGTTGTCATCTTCCGCCAAAAGGACGCGGGAGGGTCCGAGTACAGCCGTCCAGCAAGACTGTTGTTGGTAATAGTGGAGCATCAACTGGGAAGACAACCAGTGTGTGTGTGGAGGATTGGCAAGGGATAGCCCGGAACAAGTAGCCTCTATAACAGTGACCTCCGTCAAATCTGAAGTTGAGATGGCTGCCAAGCCTGAAACTTTTATATCTCCCAAGCCTGAACCAGTGATTGTAGTAGGTAGAGATGTGAACTGTTCGCCATCATTGTTGCCTAGTAGGCTAGACAAAGTGAACCATAGAAGCGCGTTGCAGATAGCGTCGTTTCCAGCCAGTGGGTCACCTTCCTTCCAGACGACAAAGAGGTCCTTATCCATTTGCTTTGCAGGCTTTCAGATTGCACTAGTCGGTCTTCCGAAGAAAGTACACGCCAAGAACAAGAATTTTCAACGAGATGAGTCAAAACTCTTGTCAGGTAAGGCGACCGTGGTGCCTAAGTGTGTAGCCTAAGCTAAAGCAGACAATCCACTCACCCTGATCAACGTGGTAATCAGAGGCCAGATAAGAAGCCAAGGAGACTCGCAATTCTTAATTCACTGTCGGTTGCAAATATGGCATCTGGTTTGTTTTTTATCGTAGTTTCTTTTCCTGACTTCTTCAGTCAGTTATGAATCTCACTAGTGTCCCTGCCCTCCCACCTTTCCTTTCTGTGCATCTTTTTATTTCTTTTATATATTTTTCCGTGATGTGCTTGCAATGCTGCATATTCGTCTTGGAGAGAGCTTTCTATAGAGCCCGAGATCGTTGGAATACTCCAAAGGATATCGAAATTACAGTCAGATGAAAATGTGAGTTTGTGAATTAAAGCGTCTGCTGAAATAATCCTAGGCTCTTAGGGGAGCACACGTATATAGGTATCCGGGTATGCTACCGAACAGCAGTGATTACTGCAATAGCTCTAAATATACTCGCTGAGAACGTTAGTTAATGAAATGAACTTTACTTATGTGAGGCCCAGGTTGGTCATTATCGCTTCTGCGCGTTGGTGTCTCCCATCCTTTCATTTCGAACTACATGTACGTGTTGCTGACAAATCGACTGCGGAAGGTCTCTTGTTGCAAG